ATTTAAATTCACTTTTAAGCTGTATGGCCAAATTAAACTCAGATTTTTGTAAATAATATACTGACTATGTGATATTATAAAACCTTAAAGCAGTAGTTATGCACATTTCTTATTCTCATGGATGATTTTAATTTCCTCATAATTATAAAAAGATACAGAACATCACAAAACTATAATATTTCATTGCAAACTCAGAATGGATAAGGTTCAAAGTTTAGATTCTAAAACTCAAGAACTGGTGCTCTTGTGGGAATTGATTACTTCAGGTTGATTGTCTTTAGGATGTATTGTATAAAAGTGATTATGTTTTCATTTTTTAATTGTATCCATTATTATTTAGTTCAATTGCCTTTCTGATTGTTTTTAATTCCTGCAATACTGGAAACCCAAATGAGTTCCATTTCCTAAATATGAAAAAATTCAGCATGATTTATCTTCATTATGTTGGTGCACTTGATAAAAGATAATTTTTGAGCAACTGTTGGCTTATGAGAATGTTGTTTTTTGTTCAGCTGTATTTTTCCTGGCATTTTAATACATAGTGGAATTTGCATATAATTTTAATTAGATCCTCTACAATATCTTGAATTTTAATAGCTATATTAAAGTGCTTGTTATTATTTTTTAACAAGACTACATGTTCTATATGTCCTACCAGAAAAACTACATAGTGCTCCCATACTCAAAAGTATTGTGATTTTCCTACAAAATTGAAAACTGACTTTATTAAATGAATCAGAAAGTAGATTGTTTACAACTATGTCTTGAACTCTTTGGCTTGAGTATATGCTTAGAACACCTCTTTCTTGGAGATAATTTCTATAAGATCAATTCTCAGAAGCAGCATTTTTGTATCAGTGACATTGCATTTTTATTCATTTTTTATTTAATTTATTTTTAACTTTTTCATTGTTGTTCAATTACAGCTGTCTCCATTTCCCCTCTTGCTCTCCCCTGTCCTGCTCCCCCATGCAATCTTCCCCCACCCCCATTGTCCTTGTCCATTGTCCTTTATACATGTTCCTTGACTTGACCCTTCCCCTTCCTTCCCCTGTTATTCCCTCCCTTCACCCTTCAGATCACTGTCTGTTCTTTATTTCCATGTCTCTGGTTCTATTTTGCTCTCCTGTTTGTTTTGTTGATTAGGTTCTACTTATAGATGAGATTATATGGTATTTGTCTTTTACGGCCTGGCAAGCATCTATATCCTTGCCAGCCGTTTAAGAGCTCGCCATGTTGTAAATGGTTGTTAGTTTCCTGACATGAGTAGCACCTTAATCTGCCATCTCCAAAAAGGGGCATGAGGGGGTGGGAATATTGATAGTCTCTGGCCTTAGCATCAATAGCCTGAGTTGGGGCCACCAAGTTGACCCCAAGTCTCCTTAAGCCTGCAAATGCATAGTCACCTCCTCCTGGGCCTTGAACAATTTCCTACAGAGGATACATGTGTATTCTCACTAATATAGATGTCCATGGTTGTACTGTTTAAAGGAATGGATATTAGCCTCATAGAGGCAACAAGACATTAGCAGAGTCTTGGTTTTGGCAGACAGAAGACTTGAGTTGTATTAGAACTCAGTGATCTATTGGACATGTAATCTTGGGCAGGTCACTGAAGCAATAGGAGTTCAGTTCTCTCATCTGTAAAATCAGAGTTCTGGAGGGCACTAATCTTTAAAGAGACTTGCAGCATTAATGTCCACTAAAAAATAAAGTTTAAAAAGTATTCACTGAATGGTTCTATGCTTTTAAACTGTAAGAAATTATTCTGAAGGAAAATAAAGGTAGGACTGAGAACAGAGTGTCCATATTTAGTTTGGACTTGGGAGAGCACATTTCCTTCATTGGAAGGGACAATTTGAATATGCCTAATTGTAAAAGGGAAGTCAATCAAACAATGAAATAAGAATTGTAGTTGGAAGAATAGCTAAATGCATATTAGGACAAGAGAAGAAAAGAAATATTTAAATAAAAGAGTCAACATGCAGTTATTTCTGTCTTTGTATGAAGAAAATTTCTAAATTATATCTATTCAAAATAGTACATGAAGTTGTTCTTTTTAGGCCCCAGGAGGAAAATTATGCAAAGTATTGTTTTGAAAATGATTATATCAAAATATAAAATCTCTGGAAACATAACAGTAATCCTCGCATTATTCTGTGTATGGGACACTTTGCTGAAAAAATTTCAACAGATAGTTAGTAAAATGATAAGTGAGAAAAATGTGTCATGAAAATTTGGTAAACAACAAGCAAACATATAGAGCATATTTATATTTTTTATTTGAATGAGACAATGTCTCCTTTCCTATTGGATTCAATTCAGTGATACACAATAAACAGCAAGATGTATTTATTTTTCCCTTGTTCTTAACATATTTTTATAATGTAAACACCAAATTTCTATGTACCTTATTTTTTAAAAAATGGCCTGTATAGGATATCCTATTATATAAGACCCCAGTAAACATTTCTTTTACCTTCTATCATCTATTAAGCATTGTTCTGGAAGTTTTGACCTCATAGGAGATTTAAAAGACTTAAGATAGTAAGGTTAGCAGGGTTGCTGCTTAGTAAATGTTGAGTGACTATAAAACAAAGACATCAATTTTTTCCATTAAAAGCCTTACTCCTATTTAGGGGATCTATATGTGGTACAATTACTCACTAAACTTTCTGGAACAATTCTTTGAAAAGGAAAAATAAGCCTAAAAATGCTCAGTTACAATATTCTACCATATAAAATAAAAGAAAATGAGAAATGCTAATATTTCATTTTTTAAATAGCACTTAAACATTTCATTTTGAGCATTTCATCATCATAATTTCTGGTCAATGAATCTAAATGTGAATATCGTTTTCCCATAGTCATTTACCTAATTGCTTTGTACATAGAAAGTATGAGTGGGTATAAATATTTATAATTCTTCTTCAAAGGTTTTTAGGAACTTAAAGCTAAAGAATATATCAGAACTCCAAAAAGTTCATAATTTTACTGCAATAAAGACAGGGAATTTTTGAAGTTGGAAAGTTCAAGCCCCAAATTTCTTTATTAAAAAGTCGGTGGTGTGCCTAAAGGCTAATCTTAACCCCTTGTGCCACAGGTGATATTAGAAAAGTCAGGGCTCCAAATTACTCCCTGCTTTACCCATGAAATCACCCATAATGCATCCATTAATCTACCCACAAGCCGTAAATGACCATTGCCTTCGCCATAATTTTTTAAAATGTTGAAACACTAAGTAAATGTGTTTTCTTTCTTTTTCCAAAAGACTGATATCCCTAGGTAAATTTCCAATTCCCTTTAGTGTATAAATTTATGAATCTTGGAATAACCTGATATCATTTGTGTGGGTGATTGAGCTCTATGTTATTCCAAACAAGATTAATCTTAATGCAACTTCGTTAGACATATGCAGAAATGAATTCACAATGTACAGCATTTTATGTTGAATATTTTATTTGCATTCACCATATCCCTCAGCAGTGAATAGCGTGAAAAATTGCACATAAAGTGCTTCTGTTTTTAAAGCTGAACTGAAGGCAGATGATTGCTCAGTGACATGACCAGTTTATCAATTTTTTGTTATGTTAAATTAAAGTTAGAACCCAAGCCACCTAGTTTTAAGTAGTGTCCGATCAGAATTCTTGAAAGATGAGGTTTACACAAATGAACTCCCTGTGAAGATGTGTCTGACTTCGAGTATCTGTGCCCTTTTAATTTTGACTCGTTTCTCCTCAAAAGGTCATCATACACAAAGATACAGGTAGTGTCACTGTAAATCAGTTTTACCGGTAAGTAGTTGTACATACTAATGTGTTTTAATAAAGCCAGTGGAAAAGTTAGGAGTGTACTTACTAGTTTTGAAAATTTGTTATGAGTAGAACAAAACCAAACACAAACCTGCTGAAATTCAGAAATCCCCATTGCCAGCCAGAGAAGGGAATTATAGAAGGCTAAATCTCCCATAACTGTCTCTGTGGGTGAAGGAGAAACTGCACTGTCTCGAGCAGGGCCCTTGATGACTCACAACTATATTAATAATTCAAGTACATAGATTTTTCTCTATAGGCACTGCAGCTGCAAAAACTTAGTTGCTTCCTTAGGAGGCCTTTTTTTCCCTGCTGGACTGAACTCTAATTGGTTTTACTTATTAAAACCAATTTGTTATACCCCTGGTATAACTGTACACATCACTCATAGTCTCTCGTCCCTAAAAATGTGAAGATTTATTCATGAGGGTGTAAGAGCTCACTGTAAATGTGGCTGTGTTTTACTGAAATACAACTTTGTCTCAGTCCTCCAAAATGAGGCGTGATGAAGGAGACAGATCATCATGAGTGATAACATCACTATCCAAATAGATGTGAATGATGTTTTCTGTGAGATCAGGTAAAGTAGTGAAGACAGTGGAGCAAGTAAATGAATGTTGGTAAAATTACTATCTGTAATTGTTTCTTTTACTGACTGGGAGGGAAGAAATTAATGGATTTCTTCTGAAAATAGTGCTTTAATTGAACAATAGCATTTTTCTTAATGTAATATAATTGAGTATTTATTTAGAAACAAATTGAGATTTTGTGCAAATGAAGGAAAAAACCATGTATTCCCAGTCATCATGACACTCCTTTAATTTCATGTAATGTTGATGAACAGTACCATTAAGTACAATTAAATAGAGAAGACATTAATTTTAAAACAACCCATTCTGTTATAGAGACCTGAGGTTTTTCTTTTCCTTTTTTCTCTCAGTCTTAAGGCAGGTCATGATTAATTACAAAAAAATTTCAGGGCTATAATCACCAACCAAAATCATCTTTTCTAGTTGTTTTGAAATACGTAATACGCTGATAAGCTGTTCGTTTAATTGGTATTTTCTATTTCATTTAAGAAAAAGCCTTTTGTGTCACCAAATCTTGACTATTTTCATAGAATGAACTATAATCACATTTTTTGAATAATTTACAAAGATTACAATAGCTTATTACTTTGTAGTTTACCTCAGAGTCGGAAGAATTAGATCCAAGTTTTTGTACAGGACTGCTCCGAGAACAAATACCGATGATTCATCTAATTCTAGAGAGAATAAAATTTTAAAATATTAACAAAACAGCAAGAAAAATACCATGTCTTATAAAAGTTTAATCTACTAATTATGAGGGGATTCCTGGACTTGCTGATGGAAGAAAGCTGGGTAGAAGAGATGCCTTCCTAACCTGAATGGGCAGGTTATCCATGCTCCACACATTAACTAAAGTTTTAAAATATGTGTCATCAGTGGTTTTGTGTCAGAAAGTATTAATGCTTCATGAGGTTAAGATAAGAAGCTGCTTTAGTTGCAGCTAGTGAGTTTATATTCCCAAAGATATGGGGAAAGAGAGCCAATTCTCTTTCGCTGCTCTAAATCACGAGGTCAAAATTTCCCAAGGCAAAAAATTAAGACCACAATGTTGCTGTTGAAAATAAACATTAATTTTAGGGACTAATAAAGATGTTCTTTTTAAAAAAAAATGCATTTACTTATTTTTAGAGAGACGGAAAGGTGGGAGAAAGAGAGAGAGAGAAACATCAATGTGTGGTTGCTTCTCATGTGCCCCCTGACAGGGGACCTGGCCCGCAACCCAGGCATGTGCCCTGACTGGGAATCCAACCAGCAACCCTTTGGTTCGCAGGCCAGTGCTCAATCCACTGAGCAATACCAGCCAGAGCAAATGAAGATGTTCTTAAAACTTAACTTTCTCTTAAATTTATTTTTATATACCAAAATAATATCTTCAAACCTAGGCAAATGTGAGGAAGAATGAAAATGTCTTTGCATGGAAAATGCAACACATTTCATTACCTAAAGTTAAAACCTTAGGCCACAGACTTTACACTGAGATAAGACTGTCAGTATGGAAACTTGATTGTGTCAAGCTTAGGTCTATAATTTGCACTTGTATTTTTTTTTCATTTTAATAGATCCTTTGCTCCAGTGAATTCAGAGACTTATGGAACAAGTTTAAGCTTTCTATATGTACAAAGTTTGTTTAGTTTTATTTGGAGACTTCTTTAATTATTTAATATATGGATGTTTATGTCTAGACTTTTATTTTTTATAATTTTCATTTTTATTTTTTATTTTTTAAATTTATTCTATTACAGTTTTCCCAATTCCCCATCCTTTGCCCTCCTCCACCCAGCCCACCCTCTGTGCCTACAGTCAATCCCCAGATGTTGTCCATGTCCATGGGTCATTCATACATGATCTTTAACTAGTCCTTTCCCTTTCTTTTTATTTTTAAAATAGTAACCTTTTCTCTATTCTTTTCCTTTAGGTCTATAGAATACTATACTCAGCATCCTGTTTAAGAATATCTTCTTTTAAAAAAATTTGTTGAATGTATTGGGGTGACATTTGTTAATAAAGCCATACAGGTTTCAAGCATACAACTCTCTATAGACTTTTATTAAATGATCTTATCAGAAATGTGTTGTTCAAACTCAAATTATCTCACATATTTACCTTTTGATGACAGAGGAGTAAAAATGCTTTTTGGAATGACTACTCTGTCTTCTGAGTTTCTTGCCCAGTCAACCATTCCCTTCCGTCCTTTCATTGGGAAGTTGATGTCTGTCAGAACAGAGGCTGCAGGAAGCTTCTGGATGCTAGCCACTATTTAAAAAGAAATACAATGTCAACTAAAATTGTCCAGTGTAATTGAAATTGATCATATTAAACCATGTAGTATATGCAAAATAAAATTTCAAGTCAAAATTATATTTACCAGAGTTACTAGACCGACTTATTTCTTCTTATTAAACAATACTTATTCAGGTTGCTGATTCTTTTACTTATCAATCTAGGTGCTTGTTGCTTTCAGCAGGAATCATACAGTGATGGTCAATGTGGGGTGGGTATTAAGAGCACCAGCAGATACTCCATACTCCTTTTTCGTGGTAGATCTCTATTTTAATTGTTTGAAGCTCTTGCTGTATTTTTGTTAAATATTTTGATTAACACTCTTAATTCATAGGTTAAAATTTGCATTTAAATCTGAACTTTATTATTTTTAGAACAAATTTTCTGAATTTACATCTGAACATATCTTTGGGACAAATTGTTCATGGATTAGAGAGTATACCATGAAGTTATGGAAAACAAAGCCATATTGCTCTGGTGGACAGTCTGTCAGAATGCACATAATGAAATAAATAAATGAAAAAAATAATGAAATAAAACCACAAATGCTGTAACCTGAGAACCACTATAACATGCAGGAATGATAAACAAATACAACAGTAACAAATAATTCTTAAAATGCATACTCACAACTGAAAGTGATAAATGTGTGTGTGTGTGTGTGTGTGTGTGTGTGTGTGTGTGTATGAATGAAGAATTGTACCTTTACTTACAATGAGTATTTTAATATATTAAGAAAATAATGAATGTTTGGTAATGCCTGGATATGTATTCAATATTATTATATATTTATTATATATACACACAAATATGTATAAAAATATTTAATAAAACTATGATGATAAACACTAAGCACTTATTGATAATGTATGTTTTCAATTAAATAATGTATTTTTTATAATTTTACACAGGTCCATAGTTGTTCTTCATTAAAGTTTTAGGTTCCCCATGCAGGATTTAAATGGAAAGATGGTAGGGAATCTCTAAAAGCTATTACAAAAGGAAAACTAAAGAAAGAGACCATTAGGCTCCTCACAAACGGATTTCATTCTAAAGATACTTGTAATTAAATTAAGAGAAGATGAAAAATAAGAATTTAATAATATTAGTTATTATATTAATAATAATAAATATATTATTGCACCACTGAGTTCCAAATTAAATTGGTCATGTATTATTGTACTTTATTAAAGCAGTTTCAGGCTATTTTTTACATATCTTATTAGTATCAGATGGAATTTTCTTTGGCCTGTAATTTGACATAATAAGCCTAAAAAGGGATTTTGCAACTGAATAGTAAAGGGAAGAAGGTACATAAATTAGTTATGGAAGTTAAATGCTGTTTTTTGAATAAGAGCTCTAATTATTTTAATTTCTTTAATTTTCAAACCATACATTGTCTTTGTTGTCCCTAAATACCCCAGCTCAAGTGTTCTTAAGGCCCAAATCCTATGCTGCATGTAGATGGACAGGTCAGCACACTGCAATACATTCTTTCTTAAGGGCCCTACCATAAGCTCTATTCAATAGGCAAAACTAAGTTCATCTACTTCCAAATTCCTTCATTCTAACTTTGGTTGTCTTGGTGTTAAACAAAATTTATTTCACCTCCCTGTTCTAAAAACTTGTGAAAAGAAATGAAGGTGTTTTGACTCTCACACAACTAGTTTCTACTATAAAGAAAAATAAGAAATAAATTGTTGGGCCTTGATGTTTAATAATTCCTCTGTTTCTGTGTATATTAAATAGAATAAATAAACCAACATAAAGGAGAAATAATAAATGAAAAAAATGTATTTTCTATCAACTATATATCACTTCATCCTGAATAAATGCTAGTCTAATATCATATTCTTAAATATGTAATAATGATATATTTACATGTGCATCTATTTCACTTTATAAAATGCATTCATTCTTCAATTAGAAGTACACTGGCTATTAAATTGTGACTATATGGAGTAGACTGCACTTTTGAATACACTCTAGATTAAAAAGATAAAAATCAATTAGGATCATTAATTTGCACCAAAACCCTTTGAATTACATAGTCTTGAGCACAAAGAGCACATAAAAACAAATATTTAATCATTAATTATTGTAGAAATGCAGTTTTAACGATGTTATTTTTAATAAATACATTATAAAAAGGGATATGATTTCTTAGATTTAAATGATAGAATTCAAATGATCAATATACATGTTACTTAAAATATAAAATATTTAAAACTATACATCTTTATCTAAAAATGGTTTTCACATTATTAAAGGGTTGAAAAAATTTTTTAAAGATTACGATTTGTTGCCATGTGAAAAGTAAATGAAATCCAAATCCCAATGTCTATAGATAAAGTTTTATTGAAACAGACACAACCATTCATTTACATGTCTTCTAGGGCAGCTTTCATTCAATAATGGCAAAGTCAAATAATTACAGCACAGACTGTATGACACACAAATTCTAAGTAGTTATTTTCTGGCCCTTTACAGAAAAAGTTTGCCTACTCCTCTTCTAGACACATGTCTAGGAGAAGCTAATTTTAAATATTACATTTTTCCTTTAAAGAGAAATGCATTCTAAAAGCATCTCAGTTTCTGTACTTTTTCTCTTATCTATTGCATGTTCTTTCTATCTTTTTTTTTTTCTATGCAACACAGAATATAGTGAGGGAAGTTTAAACTGATTATACCAGATTTCTATTAGTTTTTTAAAAGTATGTTTAGCAGACTTTTAAAAACAGGTACTGATAAACATGCATCTTCTCTACACCAGAAAATTCATGATTTCACTCCTAATATAAATATAGAATAAAATGTAAAATGAGAATAATTTTTGCATTTATACCTGAATAGTGAAAACAAATCAATATAAAAAATACTCTAGGAAATTAATTCTTTTTCTTCTCCCAACCTGTGAAATTAAGAACAAAGTTTCTGCAGAGAAAGGTGCACTTGATGATAATTAACCAAGTTGTAGGAAACAGCAACTAAAGTAAACAATTCAAGGAATTTCCAAGGTAGTGAATCATCCATTTCAAGAAGAGTAATAGCAATGGAAAGTGAAAATACCATGGAGAAAAGAGATCATTGCATACGGAAGAGTTCATTCTGGAAATTCATTCATCCAACAAACATGTACTGAACTCTGAGAGTGTTCAAGCATTGTTCTATTATTGAGGATATAGCGAGTGAGAAAGAGACCCAGATTCTTCACTCATAAAGGGCTCATACTCTAGTAGGGAGTACACACAGCTGGTAAGTGAACACACAGTTCAGATTGCGATAGATGGCATGAAAGAAACAACTTGTGAGGTTGAGCATGGTTGGTTGCTAAGGAAGGCCTTTCTAAAGAGGTATAAGTGGGCTGTGATATGGTTGCATGTGAGCTAAGGAAACTGCCTGTGCAGCCTTAGGGTCTGGAAAGATCTGTATTGTTCCAGAAGTGTAAGAATAGCAGTGTCTGGGTAGGACGAAGCATGAAAGGAGGAAACAGTATGTCCTAGAGAAATCGTAACATTCTTAATAGGGCAGAAAGATTTCGTTAGAGTAGGAGAATAAAAATGATATCATAGGCTAAGAGATCTCGCAGCCTAGAATATGACCAAATTTGGAACTTGGAGATGAAACTGGATGCCTTCTAATTAGAATCGTTAATAATGTAGACATGGGTAAGTTTTCCTGAAGAGAATATAAAATGGGTAGATTCAGCCATTCAACAAATACCTGCCAGGCCCAGTTCTGGGTACTGTGAATACACCAGTGAACAAAACAGCGGAAGTCCATGCTCTCATGAGATTAGCATGACAAGGAATAAATAAGCGCAACCAGATAGAGTTCCAGTAATGATAACATGATAGAGAATGATGATTTGAATTGGGAAGCTTGGGGAAAGGTTCATTGGTAAACTGGCATGTGTACAGATAGCTGAACTAAGTAAGATGGAGAGCTACGCAGGTACAAGAAGATGATAGAAAAAAGCTGTGAAATGTAGTATAGGAAAGGCTCACTTTTAGAGGATAAAAAGAAATAAACAGGAAAAGACACCAAAAATAATTGGAGGAGGGTCGGGGGGAGAGAGAGAGAGAGAGAGAATGAACCACAATAGTAAACTAATTTAGGAATAGAAAGATATATTTCAATAAGGGCAGAGTAGCTTTATAAGGAGCCAAAGGCTTTATAAGTTATGGAGAAGGGCCATTGGTCTGAAAATATGAAAATCATACTCAAGTAGGTTCAGGTCATGCTGTACTGTAGATGTTGGCAAACTTTTTCTATAAAGGATCAAAAAATAAATATTTTCATCTCTGTGTGCCAACAGGCCTGTGTTGCAACTATCCAAATCTGTTAGTAAGATGTGAAAACATCGATAGATGATTCATAAATGACTTAACATGAATGAAAATATGGTGTTTAATCATATAATAAAAATTGTGTTATGTGACCAGTATTGCCTCTTTAGTGACATTATACATGACTGTATAATTTGCTGACCTGGTCAAGATGTGCAAGTACCCTTGCCCCCACCCCCCACTAAAGAGCTTTCCCTATATAACTAGAAATTTTTTTAAAAATCCTAATCCTTAAGTGTCTGTTATATTATTTTTTTCCTGAGTTTGGTCTGTCTTCATTGCCCATCTAAAGAAATTCAATTCCCTCCCACTCCTGTCTGTTATATCACTTTATTTATAATTTTTATGGTCCTATTCACAGTTAAAATTTGTCTAGTATATGTGGGCTGTTTCCCATACTAGACTATACACTCCTAAAGGTAGGAAATTTTCCATATTTATTGTTATATGATCGAATCCTAACAGGTAGTAGTATTTGACACAACACCCCATATTTTTTTTAAATGAGTGGGGTTTACCAAAGACTTGGTTGGAGGCATTGGTTTCATGTGATATCTTTGGGCCCTGGAGACAGACTTAGTTTTCCAATTACTTTGTGATCTTTGGCAAGTCATTTAATTGCTC